TGCCGCCAGCGGGTGCTGCTTCCCAGCGCGGCACTCGCCTTGCCGGGTCCCTGAAGCGGCGTTGTCAGCGCCAGAGCTGATGGAGAAAGGAGACCTTCCCCTGAAGCAGCGTGCGCCCGGGGGGTCGTGCCGTGCCTCTGGGGGAGCGGGGAAGCTGGCAGGACTAATGAAAAGGAAACTGCTTGGCTCAGCTCTGTCTTTTCTCTTCTCCCCCCCTTCCCTTCTTGTCCCCACTGCCTTCAGACCAACCAGAGATACAAGAGGAAATTTACAGAAAAGACGATAGGCTCCTCACCTTGTTAAAAGATGTTTATGTCGAGTCCAGAGATCCACCTGTGCAGGTGAGCATGTCTCTCTGTAGCATCAGCTACGGAGATGTTGTGCCTCTCTCACCAGCATCAGCTTTTTGGTCTTCAAACTCAGCACAAATTCTGTATAAAGAAAAATGCTCTGCTAGAGCCTAAAAGCTACCAATTTTATAGATAAGTGATGTTTTCTTTACTCTTTTATATGTCAGTAGCACTGACTGTGTTTGACCCTGGGTCTTGCACACATGGCAGATTGTGATTATACAACCTTTTAAATGCTTATGCAGTCTTCCTTTTTAAAATCATTGTGGTCTTCCTTTGTTTTTCACCTAAATTTCCACTTCTGCATCCTCTAAGGCAGAAGGACATTGGCCAGCTCTTTGTAAAGATGTAGGACTTTGCTAGACATCTCTCCTAGAGCTGTTAGAAGAAGAGAGATTGCGACTACTATGGGAGTATGGACAAAGACATTTAACATTTTACTGGAGTCTTTAACTACTGATATTAATGCTGTACTGTGCAGAGACTTTTCCTTGTGTGTCCGAGGAGGTACCTTAGTTAGGTTTTTTCTGCATGATCAGTTTCCTCATTCCCAGTGGCTACAGTCTTTGACTGGGAAGGCAGTGCATACCCCTGCCAGTAAAATGCAGACTGGGGTCCAGTCTCCTCTTTTCCACCATGTTATGTTATGGCTTGTGCATTTTACCCATTGCATTATTGGAATGCTTTATTTTAGCTGCTTTCTTCAGTAATAAAAGTTTTATAATCATCTAGCAATAAAATTACTTAGTCTCTCAAATTTTCTATTTTCATAGTACCCTGTATTCAAGACTAAAAGTATTTAAAAATGCAAATGGATTTCTGCAGTCTCTCCCAGAAGTTTCCAAGTAATCCCTATCCTTAATTTTCATAATAGAGGTTAGGACTCTCATCTTGAAGTGCTGAAGGTCTAACTTCAATATCTTTCGATATTCATTTGTAAGCCTGTCAAGAGAGATTTGAGAACAAGCCAAAAGTGGAACAAACCATAGTGCTTGATTCCATACCTACTCTGAAATTGCTGCCACATAAAACTTGCTCTTGTGCTGTGTCTACTTGCAGTTGTAAGGAAGAGCGTGATTAATGTGTTAGCATGGAGGCTTGTAGGCAAAACTTTATCCAAGAGCTTCCTTCTTTTCCTGATGTTATTCTGAATACTTTGCACATTGTGTGTGTACATACATATATGTATATCTGGTATGTCTGTCTGTGGTAAGTGGAAAAGCACCAGCTCTAAGTCCTGAAGTAGTGGATAGCCAGAGACGGATAACTTTATTAAGACTTGAAAAATTGTTCCTTACCTGAGCACAGTTTTAGCACAAAGTAAAAGGAAGAAGTGGAGAACTGCTAGCATCATCGGACATCTGTAGTTCAGAAACAGACACGCAGTTACAGATGCGGTAGCATCCACATTGGTTATCTCAGCTTGTGGGTTAATAGAGTGTCTGTGGGCTAATCAGTGACTGTGGACTCTGATAACTTTAAAAGTATTATCTTAAATTTAAGAAAGGTTTTCATAGTGTCTTTTTTGCAGTGTCATTCACTGGTTAAGTCTTTGTAAAAGGCAATGTGGGGAAGGCAGAGCAGGTTTGAAAATTACTTGGAAATAGGAAGGGACTTGGGAGAAGAGACTTCACGTGTCTGAGCACTGCAGTAGTCATGGGAATTAAACTCCATATGATGCTGCAAGATAGTTTCTTTTTTGTCCAGCAAAGCTTGTTCTCTAAACAGAACAAAAAAAGGGATACCTTTTAGTTGCAAAACTGAAATCTGAAAATGAAAGGAAGGGAAGAGAGACTATATGAAAAAGATTTCCAGTGGTATCAGAAGAAAGATACCAATTTCAAGTATGGTTTGTTTTGTTTTTTTTTTTCCCACTTGCCATGAATCAGTACCAAATATGAGGTTATCTGCATTTACATTTGGCTACCACAATCTGTAGTTTGCCTTGCATGAAGGGCTGCTGGGTCTGTACAACACTTAAGAGTTCAGTGAATGGTAGCTTTTTGTAATGTTGGTGGGGGTTGACGTTGTATGTAGAATGGCTACAGAAGAACTGACAATTTTTATTATATCAAGAAGCAAGGCTGACCAGGCGTTATTTTTTTTAATGCTGTGAAAATGAGGAAAGCTAACAGGAAATGCCGTATTTAGGAAAAACAGCTTGCCTGCTGCAGTATGCATAGTAAACAGAACTGCTGTTAAGCTCTTCGTTTTCTTTCCCACAATTAGGTAAAAGATGGGGCTGGTGAACATCTTCCGTGTAAACAAGAGGAAAAGAGACTTACAAAACTAGGCCACTTGGGAGATCTAGATGTGAAGAAAGTTCCCAAAGGCAAAATTTCCATTGTGGAGGCTCTGACACTTCTTAATAATCATAAACTTCATCCTCAAATATGGACTGCAGAGAAAATAGCAGTGGAATACAGTCTGGAACTGAAGGAGGTCAACTCTCTTTTGGAATTCTTCATTCCTTTTGCTGTGCAGGAGTTTCCTAAAGAAACCAAAAAAGCTATAAAGCCAACATAAAAGTAATTACCAAATTGTGTGATCTCATTCGTGTCTTAATTTTACTTGTGTTTTAGTTTTACTCTTATTCAGTGTCTGAAAAGAGTTGGTAACATGTCATCCAACAAGGCTGCTTCCTTATACCAGTAAGATGTATTCAAGCAATTCCATTCTATATTGAATGGCTTCAGTTAAATGCAGCAGATAGAGGATTCCGTTTGTAAACCAGAATATAACTACTAAGTTGTATGAGAGCATGTCATACAATGCTGATTATCCTGTTCATATGTTATGAGTTCAGTTAAAACATGCAAGTTCTGGTGAGAATTTTATCTTAGCAGGAAAATCGGCTTCAGCGAAATCGGTGCTCTGTGTGTATTGGCTCTGCTGCAGTTCCGTGTCACAGTGTTATTTCAAGCACTTGCTGTCAAGGTGTGTGTATGCACAAACAGCTGTATTTATTTTGTACAAGCACGGAATAGTATTTATACTTGGTAAAGAAGGTTAACCACAGGATCATGTGGAAAATTCAGCTGTGTCAAACAAAATAAAAAGGTGAATAGCAAGAAGGCCTCTTCCTGATGCTGGAACAGTAATGGCTGATGTTTAGCTCTTCTTCCACTCTATTCTGACTTAGCTTAAATATCTGCACCTCCTCAGGTACTGGCTGGCAGTCACTGATTTTTGTAAAGAGTGATCTTCTAGCATCAGTCTCTTGCAGCAGTCTGTGGTACCTACTGTATGACAAATAATGGCTCATATTATAATTAATACCTGTGAAATGCAACTGGATCTACTAATTGGACCCACTAGTTGGTCTCTGTAAAGGTCTGCCTGTCCTGTTACAACAGCCCTTTTTCCCTGGGGGGGCCTTGTCTGATTTATCCAAATGCCGGCTCAATCGGGTCACGCTCGCTCACAAAAAGTTACCGCGTGCTACCAGATGGAAGGTGACCAGCATCCTTTCCAGTTGTTAGTAAAGGATGACACAAACTGTGAGGGGGTAACGGTGGATTGTAACCTTGATACTATGACTACTCAGGTCTGTGTAGGTAAGGAGGAAGTTTTACACTGGTGATTAATGCTGTAGTGAAAACTGGTTCATGTTTTCCAGATAAGCTGGGGGTGGGTAATAGGAGTTTATATTTTAAAATGCATTATGATTGCCTTCATTCAAAAGAAACAAAACCCAAAACTTAATTTTATGCAGTGCTGATGTTCCTAGTGCCCCTCATCAAAGAAGCTGAATTTATTAAGAGGGTGGAAGCCACTACCAGGCCTACAATGAAACTTTCTTTTTAAGAGCTTTTCTTAGGTCTTAGATTTCAGACTCTGGTAAGTACCTCACCAAGATGATGATCAGCTTTGCTATTTCACAGCAGGATTTTTTCCACTTCTGTCTCTGAGATGGAACAAGGTATTTACCGTGCAATTTGCCAGTGTATTCAAGGTTTTGCTTGATTCATTTCCAAAGTCTGTAACGCTGTGCCTTAGTGGGAGATGACACCTAAGTGCATTGTATGAAAATTTGAAATTGTTGGGTTTTGGATGTGTGGACTGGGGACAAGCTCGTCATTCTTCCTGTAATGTAATGGGGACAGAGCTGCACTCTGAACCTAGTGCACCCAAATTATGTATCACGTTAAGATTTTTCTGTTTTCCACAAAATACTCTATTTTATAGAATATTGTAACAGAAATACTGTATTGTTTGAGTACTGTTCATCCTAATGTAATATTTAAGGTAATATTCAGAAAACAATGGTGGAATGCATTTGGTACAGGTACTGTTGTTATTATTAGAGATGCTGTCATTTCCTTCTTTAAAGATGAATCTTTAATTGGGTATTGGAGTGGATTAAAAAAATCACTCCTATCTGCACCAGACAACAGCTTAACCATACCCCTTGACTAACGTGGTGTGGATAATGGCTTTTTTTGTCTGCCTTTGTGGATTTGTGGTGTGACTTCCCCATTACAGCGCCCTGTTTCACTCAGAAAGTCCCTAGAGGCATTCTGGCATACTGCTGCTTTGCTTATGCTCTTCAGCAGGCAAGTTCCAAAGGACGTTTGGTGCTTATCGTGTTCAGTGCTTCAGCCATACCTCCAGGACAAAATCCTGTCCATGAATGAGATGATTGCAAAGCTATCCCCAGTTTCTCTGGAGACGGGATCTCATCCTCAGAATATCTTGTCCATGGTGGGGAAGCAGGCAGGTCCCACAGCACAGAGGTGGGCTAGGCATCCATCTCCCTGGAAGCAGGTGAAGTCCCGGTGGCCCAGCAGGCTCCTCTGGAGCAGGGAACTTCTCTGGCACAGCACATTAATTTCAGGAAAATCAGACACAATGCACTTTGCTGTTGGCACACGCATTCTGCTGGTCACCTGCCCCACCTGCTGGCCAATGTCAAACCAGTATTACGAAGGCATTGCTGATGGCATGGGATCATGTAAAATCTGTACCTTTATCACTCCAAATTACCCACAGTCTGAATGTTTAGCTCTCAGTGTCTCTTCAGACATGGAGTGTTTTACTTGCCCAAAGCTCCCAAGAAGATCGAGGAGCATGGATCTTTGCTCTGGTGGGCAAGTCTGTCCCTGATCAAGCACTCTCAATGCCACCACTTTGTCCTGTGTAAGCTACTGGCTGCAGCCAGCCACAAGGTTCTTGGCAGGTGTGTGTTTAAGCTGTGTTCAAGTGAGTATGTGTTTGAAGATAATGCTGTTTTCAGGCTTGATGTCTGGGACAGGACTATTCTGTGTTGCATCTGTTCTAGAACTGCTTATTTCCTTTTTTTCCAGTTTCAAGAGACTCTATACTTACCAGTTATCTTGCCAGTTTACCAGTTTCTGGTTTTGATGCAATTTCTAATAAGAAAAATAATGGTATTTTCTTTATACTTTTAATTTGGTTTTGTCTGTGTCTCTTTCTGTCTATATCCCTTTCCCACAGCTGTTTGTCTGTCAGCTTAAGGAAAAGGTACTCTTCAAGCAACTGTTTTGAAGAGGGAATTACGAGGAATTTGTTGGAACCTGCAATTCAGTTTTCTGGTACTTATACATGAAGAACTTTTCATGTTTCATTGCCATGCATGTGGTGCACCAAATTTAGCTCAGATGTTTTAGGCCACCATATAGAATCATTACTTTTAGTAGGGAACAACCTGCCTCATTCAAACCGCTTTGTTCTTGCCAAATGATTGTAAAATGTGTAGCAAGTATAAGCTTGTGAGCCTGTAAGGGAGTTGTTTCATTTCTAGTGTAAATGCCACATGGTTAACAAACTTTTTAATACATGGTATTATTACACCAGTTTTCCAAATGTGACTGAATAAAGCCAGGGTGGCCATGGGCTAGTAGACAGAGTGAATACACAGGACAGGCTGAGCCTCATTTGGAAATGAAGGTTACATTCCTGGTGAGATGTAAAGTTGAATTTCTTTAGGGGAGTTCCAGCAGGTATACTGGAATTCCTGGCTTGAATTTTTCCAAAGCATGTCTCTCTAGGTGGAGTCTAGTTGGTCACTTACCCACGTTTTCTGGGATGTGGTCCTGTTCCTTTAGCCTTGTTCTATCATTACATCTATTCTCAGCCTTCTCCAGCCAGTCTTCTCTGCTGTTAAAACTTTATGCAGCTGCACTCTTGCTCTTTACTAGCTCACATGCAAATGTTGTTTATATTCTGCCCTTTCAGTATCAACAACCTGTTTTATTTCTGCAAAGATCTCTTGCCTTCTAGGAGTAGCACATCTGCTGAGGTAAAGATGAGAGGACTGGCCACATGTTTTGCTTTGCAGAACTTGTGAATAGGACAGATTTTCAAAAGGGATGTAGCCTTTCATTCATCTTCAAAAGCTGCTCTTCTGGGCTACGTGCAACTAAGTAATCTTGTGCTGTCTCACCAGTCGTAGCTAGGTTCTTGCAGTCTGATGCCAAGACAGTAAGACGAGCTGTGAGGCAGGAAAGAGTTTTAACTCTGCCTTCTGTGCAGCTTAGTCAGAGGGACCTTCAGTACAAGAAGTGATCTTTCTGTAGCCTTCCAGCACAGGGAACTTTTCTTTTAAGCTACTTCTTTTTACTCAAGGTGAAATTATGATGTTTATATATGAGATGTGTTTATTTAACTTACAAAATGGATTATCTTATTTCTGTATTGAAAAATTGAGTCAAACCTCAAGTAGTCAAAAAACAGGATCAAAAGGGAAAGTTTACAAAGGCAGCTATCTCGCCTTGTTTCATATCACAGGATGGTAGGGGTTGGAAGGGACCTCGGGAGACCATCTAAAACAGATTCCCTACAGCACATTGCACAGGAAAGCGTCCAGGCGGATTTTGA